TGTACACAGGCCCTAGTAGCTGTCAGTTAAGTAAAGCAAAAGCAAAGTGCCGTCATCATAATTATTCCGTTTTGTATCTCAGTACCGTACACACGTAATTCGTTACTTAGCATCAAAACTGTTTTCTTAACTTAAGCTTAATAGTTCAAGTAAATAAATATTTTATTAAACCATTCCTAAATGCTAGTGTCAAGTGTTAGTGAACCGCCTGCACCGTTATACGGGCAAGCCCGTTCGTCGCTGCCACTCGGCCGCAGGAGAAACCAGATAATAACCTGGTTAGTTATTTAATTTAGTTTATTTTATAACTAGATTAAGTTAGTAATAAGTTAGTTTATAAGTTAGTGTTTAAGTTTAATAGTCAGTAAACCTTAAGCAGTCCGAACCAGCCTTCTTCAAGGCTCAGTGAAAGGAACGGTTGTTAAGGCTAACAACTTCGCCGGCCCCTACGAAATGGGTCATTCCCGTGGAGGGAAAATACGGAAGACTCCGCCACCACACGAGTCACCGTACTCACGCGGCCAGCCACCAGCTAAGAAAATGACACCACCTGAACAAACAAAGGACTCAAACACCATCATGTCAGACACCGAATCAATCATGTCAACAACCTCAAACCAAACAACAACCACAACAGACTCACAACTTTCAAACTACAAGCAAGTAACCGATCATAAACGTATCCCGCCTATATTCGAACAGTTATTAACCGGACATACATGGAGATCCATCGCTAAACTCATGTTCCAAATACCAGGCTTAGATCAGGTAACAGCAAAATCAACATCAACACCATCCCAAATACAAATCAACTGCCCGGACGAGTATACATTCATAACCGTCCAAATGTACTTATCGGAAAATAAAACCAAGGCTTCGTTCCACACATTTGCACTACCCCAGGACAAACACTTAAAAATCGTCATCAAGGGACTACCGCTGGACGTTACCGACGAGGAACTAAAAGAAGAATTACAAGAATCCGGATTTGCAGCAGAACACATCAAGCCCTTCTTCAAAAAAGGTAAAAGGATACCTATACATCTGGTAAAAGAAATTTTCGATGTAACGGAAATTTTCTACCTAAAAGTAAAAATCGAACCGTATAAATCGTCAGGGCCAGCACAATGCTATTCATGCCAAAGATTTGGACATTCTTCACTACAATGTGGACACCCGCCGAGATGCGTTAAATGCGGAAAGAACCACATCAGCAAACACTGCACAAACCAAAAAGGCTGCCAAGATGGTAAAACACTACAATTTCAAACAATAAATATCAATTGATAGGTCATAGGTTCACTGCCTGACACGTGTACACAGGCGCTAGTCGCTGTCAGTTAAGCAAAGCAAAAGCAAAGTACCGTCATCATTGTGTTACTTTCGTTGGGTTGGGTTGGGTTTTTCTAATTTCTAATTGGTAATTATGAAAACTAAATTGTTGCGTTGATTTGCCAACAAATGGTCAAGTATTGAAAGTTTTATTTTATAATTTGAGAGAAGTAAATTCAAAAATTCATAGTAGTGCCACATTAGTCATAAAAGAAATAGAAGTATTTTAGACTAAAAAAAATATTCTTGTAAAAAAAATCAGCATAGTATTACTCAGGTAGGTTTGTATGAAGAATGGACATCATTGAATAAATCGAGAAAACGAAGAAATTTGACACAAATTGCTAAAGAACAAAAATTTATCGCCAAATTTTTTTGTGATACTTGCGATATAGCACTCACAGATGCTTTGTATACAATTGACTATGAAATAACTAAATTATAAATAACTAAATAACCAATAGCAAACAGGTTATTTAAGAAGTACAAGTAAAAATGATTGTTCTAATATTGGACGTTTTAATTGTGCTTGTATACTTTTAAAACAAGAGTTAAATAAAAATATTCTTTATATACCCTGTAGACATCATATTTTTAAATTAATTTTAAAATGTGTTTTTGAAAATAAAATTCAAAATTAATCTGGTCTCAATGTTGTTCTTTTCAAAAATGTTCAGTTAGTTTGGAATAAAATTAATAAAAATAAATTTAAAGTTGGAATATCCGATAAAGTTATTATTAAGATAATAAATGGGTCAATATATGGTACAATAGATTTCACAAAAAAAAAAAAATTAGGGGACGAAAATTAAGAGAAGATTATCGTTAACTTTTAGAGCTCACAATTATATTTTTAGGTGGACTTCCTTCTCATGGCATATCATTTAGAACCCATGGAGCTTTTCGTCGTGCTATGTGGATGGCTAAAGCTATTTATATTTTAAAAAATTTTCTTTTTCAAGGCCAATTAAAATAACAATAACATAACGACGACTACATAGAAGGATTGAACACAATTAATAAATTAAAAATTACAAATGATGTTGCAGAAAGAGGCGTAAAATTAATTGAAGATTACAACAATATTAGAACAAAAGATGAAAAACAAAATCAATAAATCAACTTTATCCCAAGACTTTTAATACATATATATATATATAAAAGATATAATGCACTTTTATAGTATTTCATTTTATTTTATTTTATAAAATTTAAAAAATGTTATTATTCATTAATTAAATTAACAACATTTTTTAAATTTTAAATTTTTTACAAATTTTTCAGAAAAAGCTATTTTTTTAATTTTATTTCATTTTTTATGATTTATTTCAACTAATACTAGCTCAATCCTATAAAATTCAACTTAAATAATTTATACTCAAGTCAGTATAAACAATTGAAAAGGTTAAAATGAAATGTTAAAAATTTTAAAGTAACGAAGTATAAAAAATAAGCTGTTTAATTATTTTTGTGTATCTATCTATTGTTATCACGTGTAAAAAATTCAATAAATTATTAAAAATAATATATCAAAATATTTGTCTTTACATATGGTATTTTTTTGTATTTAGACTATTATTGAAAAAATCACTCGATAACCTCTATTATAGGTTTTATAGAATATTCTTCGAAAATTCGAGGTAAAAATCTTAAAATGCTGTGCGCCGCGATTTAAATTTTTTCAAATGACCTTAAATTTTTAGAATATTATTTTTTTATACTGAAGAAAAAAATGGAGGAGTGTCCCGAAAGAAATTTCGAAATTCGTAAAATAAAGACCACCCTAATATTCACACAGAGAAGATTGTCAGAGATCAGCAGACAAACGTCTCAGAGCTGGGTGATAGAGTAGTGACATAGGCTGATGGTAATGCTGACGACATGGTTGTAGCGGCGATACGTCGAGGACTGTAAATATATACTGTAGTAGAATACAAGAGCGATGGCACATGGTAAGAATAAACGGCAAGGACGGCAGCGACGGACTAATAGGTTTGGAGTCGTGTTTTTTTATAGTTCTTATACGCATGCATGGAAGGACCCCAATCTAACCCTCAATGTAAGGTAAATACACCTCGGAGTTTCATCCCCTCCTTCACCACTTAACAGTATACAGTAATGGTATTGGGATACCTTCATCGGACTTGGTTTTTCTTTCCTTAGGGACAGTTTGAGTTAGGTTTAATTTTTCTACACTACTACTCTAAGATGACGATCACTTGCGACAATAGCGCTCTCAAGTGGTAGAAATCCGAATTATACTCCAACTTGCCCCTTTTCACCCTACTAACAATAGTTATGAATAATATCATTTTTTTCAAAATTGTCAGCACCACCTATAATTTATTTCTTGACAGGGTAGTTTATGTGTGTATATTGCAACATNTTTTTTTGTATTTAGACTATTATTGAAAAAATCACTCGATAACCTCTATTATAGGTTTTATAGAATATTCTTCGAAAATTCGAGGTAAAAATCTTAAAATGCTGTGCGCCGCGATTTAAATTTTTTCAAATGACCTTAAATTTTTAGAATATTATTTTTTTATACTGAAGAAAAAAATGGAGGAGTGTCCCGAAAGAAATTTCGAAATTCGTAAAATAAAGACCACCCTAATATTCACACAGAGAAGATTGTCAGAGATCAGCAGACAAACGTCTCAGAGCTGGGTGATAGAGTAGTGACATAGGCTGATGGTAATGCTGACGACATGGTTGTAGCGGCGATACGTCGAGGACTGTAAATATATACTGTAGTAGAATACAAGAGCGATGGCACATGGTAAGAATAAACGGCAAGGACGGCAGCGACGGACTAATAGGTTTGGAGTCGTGTTTTTTTATAGTTCTTATACGCATGCATGGAAGGACCCCAATCTAACCCTCAATGTAAGGTAAATACACCTCGGAGTTTCATCCCCTCCTTCACCACTTAACAGTATACAGTAATGGTATTGGGATACCTTCATCGGACTTGGTTTTTCTTTCCTTAGGGACAGTTTGAGTTAGGTTTAATTTTTCTACACTACTACTCTAAGATGACGATCACTTGCGACAATAGCGCTCTCAAGTGGTAGAAATCCGAATTATACTCCAACTTGCCCCTTTTCACCCTACTAACAATAGTTATGAATAATATCATTTTTTTCAAAATTGTCAGCACCACCTATAATTTATTTCTTGACAGGGTAGTTTATGTGTGTATATTGCAACATTTTAAAATATTGAAGTAAAAATAATGTACTTATGATATTAAACTATTCAAATGAACTTTTCCTCAGTGCCAGGTTTACGGGAGAATCTGGACTCCTTCAGACACCAATATTACTATATTTGATATGTAGAGTATGATTCTAATATGTAATCAAATTAAATTTTATTTTTTGGATCTCCCTTAAAAAAAATTTGAATTACACCACTGCCATTTTTGTTATCTATAAATAATAAGAATTAAAAAGAATTTTTGAGAAAAAAAAATCAATGCTCAAATATATAAAATATTAATTTTTTATTGTATCACAGAATGATTTTAATCAATTAAGATTCTTTTTATTTATTATAAAAATTACATTTTTTGTTTTGTATCAAACAACAAATGTTTAACACTTAATAATATTTATATTGGGAATTGATTTTCAGAACAAAAATAAATATTTAATTTAACACTTATATTTAAAACACCATTGAGCAAAAAAAAGCAAAATTAATTACATATTTGTCACATTTTTAATATCAACAATTTTTTAAAAAAAATTAATTTATAAGCAAGTAAATATTTTGTACATTTTAAAATATCATGAAAAAAAACATTTATTAATATATTTAATGTTGATTTACAAAAATCAATAAAAATATTACATAAACAAAACAAATTATGCATTATAATAATAAGCATAATATAAAAAAAAACAGGACACATTTTTAAATAAGATGATTATAAGACAAATCTTAAAGAATAATAAAATAAAATAATCATAAAATATTTATTTAAAACTAAGTTTTGAAACTTATAAAACAACACATATACAAAAATAAAACACCAATATAAGCTAAAAATTAAAAATACTTTTCGTTTTTAATGATTTTACTTCTTAATTGAAGATTTGAAATAAAATTATTAAAAAAAACTATTTTAAAAGTAATTAAAAATAAAAAATAATTATTAATTATAAGATATAAAAATAACCACTAAATGAGTCTTTCTTTACCATATATCATTCATTTTATGTAATGATATCTCTTCTTTCGGTAAAGCATCGATGCTTTCCAATGATTTTATATAAAACATTAATTCAGATGATACAATTCTAAAATGTTAATAAAAAAGAAAAACAATTTAAATGAAGTTATACAAATGTTTAAATTGAAAATAAATCATTATAAAAGCAAACCTTTTAATAAAAATCTTAATAAAAGTAGAAAATAATACAAAGAAATGTTCAGAAAACTTGAAAAAAATTTAAATTACAAATAGTAAAAATAAAAATAATATTGGTACCCAATGTCAAAATGACATCTTCCTATTTCAAAATCTTTGTATTGTATCACTATTTTAAAATATAACTATATTATAATATTTATGTATAATATAAACATAGAGTATTCAACTAAAATATAAAAAAAATATCAAATTTAGAAGAAAATTAAATCCCCAAAAACTTTTTAAAACCACAATGATTCTAAACCTAAATTTAGAATGTTAGTATTTAATAAATAAGGCTTAAACTGAAATTAAACTAAGTAAAAAAAAACTTTTATAAACTATTAATTGACTGCAATTTTAAAAATGATCAAGGTTTTTGACCATGTTTGGATAATTAAAAAATTTTTTTTTTAATTTTTCAAGTAGTAATAATTTAAAGTAACTTATATACTATTTACTAATATAAAAATAGAGTTCTTGGCAACTCAATATACTTTTTGGAGGCAACTATGTACATAACAAAATTATTTGGTAAATACCCAACAACTTCAGAATATTAATAAAATATAAGTACTATTATAATTATTATAATACTATTATATCAGTACTATTATTTATTACTAAATATAATTACCCACGTAAAGGCCCAGCATCATTGGATTTATCCATTTTATTAATGCAGTCATGTAAAATATTCTTAAATATTAAATGTATTCTTCTATAGAGAATTTCAACATGAAGTTTAGGTAATATACTTGCAATGGCATCATGTAATTTACAAATATGTCTATAAAAATTAATAATTTGTAAAATTTATTTATAATATTAATTTTAAGGAAGTAAATACATAATATGTACATTATTTTGACTGAAAAAAGGGACAGGTTATTCAAACAATTATGTACCATTGGGGCAAAATCTTTTTTAAGTTTAAATTACTTTGAAAATAATATTTTTTTGTTTTTAATAATTTTTTTTATGTGTAATTACTAGTTTTTTACTAATTAGTAATTATTTTAAAACTAGTGACGATAAATAAAATGTAATAGCAGATTTAAAATCCATTTGTTTTATAATCGTATATTTTTATCTTTAATGATTGAAATTATCATTTTGTTGACTAATGTAATTGTTGAATTAAGAACAAAAATCTATAGAAAAGTTATGTTTTTGCAGATCATAATTTATACTACAATGGTACAGAAATGTGTATATAATATACATTTTATAAAAAGTACCAAAATTAACTTGCAGTTCATAATTTTTATTTTAAAATTGGTATCACATTACCTAAAGAAATGATCAATTTGCATTCCAACTCAAATAATCACTCTAAATAATTTAATATTTAAAAGTTTTCTAAATAAATCATTATAATATTTAATTGTAGACTTATAATTAACAATTATCTATGAGCAAAAAAATGATAAATTTAATCAATCTAGAAAAATGATCTTAATAGCATGTTCAATAAATATATAAAATGTGCAATGTTCTTTCAATAATATTAACAAAATAGAGTAAAAGGGATGTATCAAGACTTTCAGATTTGAGAAATATGAAAAACTTAGGATTGACTTTGTAGGACAATTCACAGTTTTGATATCAAGTATTCGATTTCTTAAAAATAATTTAAGCTGTATATAATTTTAAGATACTTCAATTACGATAATTACAACTAATATCAAATTTAATTTACAAGAAAATTATACATTTGTATTTCAATTGTTTAAATTTAAAGCTAATATTAATAAAATAAAATTACATTAGTTGCTTATTTGTTTTAACTTAAACTATTTTCAACTTATCCAAATGAATTTCCATTTATTATATAATAATTCTGTAAGTTGAATAACTTTTATTACACTGAATTGTATATTATTTTGACAAAATATCTAATAACTGGCCTGTGTACTAGAAAAAATTATAAAAATAGAAAATTGTTTTTTAGACTTACTTGCAGATATTTTGAAATGATTTTGATGGAATTGGAGGTTTTGCTTCCCAAGAATTCATTTCATTTATAATAATGTGTTTTACAATATCTAATAACTTTTCTTCAATTTCTGATAAATGTTTATTAATTTCATTTACAACTCGGTTTATTTGGGTAGTAACTTGAGATTCTTCTAAATATTCTACAGTCATAAAATATATATATATATATATATATCAATAATATTTCTTAACTAAAAAAAATTGAAGCAATAGCATTATTTAGGTCATTAATATATTACACAAAATTGAAAATTTAAAATAATAATTTTCAATTTTTGATAAAAAAAATTCATACTTTATAGTTATTTTTAATCTAAATATATATCATGGCTATTTAATTTAATTGATAATCAGACGATCTCATATATTTAGACACTTGGTGAAATGGAAAGGGATCCAAAAATTGTTAATAATACAACAATAAAGTTAATGGTTTATTATAGGATTTTATAAAAAATTCTAGGATTATTGAAGAGATAAAAAGTTTGATGAACAATTTTTGAAAAATGTAACACTCTAAATATTTTATAGCTAATAAGAGCCTTTAAAATTACACTTTAAACTCTGGCAGTTTTTAGTTTTTTTATGCACTAAATAGAGGTTAATATATTGTATCTATGATAATTTATATTTTAGTTTAAAAACAATTATCAGTATTATAACTGTATTCGAGCCCTCATTCTTTAAAGTTTAAATAAATAATATAATACATTTTTTATATAATAAATATAGTAATCCGAAATAACTATCTATTATATTTAGTTCTATATTATGAAATCAAAATGTATAAACTTTCTTTAAAACCATTAATTTCATAATATTTAATTCAATCTACTTTCAATAAATCAAAATTCAATAGATAACACAATTATTTAGTCTAAAATTTGATATTATGTCAAGTACATTTAAAGGTTGGTAATAATTTAATAAAATAAATCATTCTAAAATTGAAAATTAAATAATATTTTGCATTAAATAAAACCCAGAATCCATCTTAACTTACTTTGATGGCATTGTTTTATTATTAAACAGATTAATATTTATTTTAAATTAATAAATAAATAAATTGTTTTATTGTTCTATTGCACAATTGGTAGAACTGGCCTTAAGACTTGCCCAGGATCTTATCCAAAAGATGATTAAAACAAAAGATTATTCAGCAATTTGTTAATGGTTTCAATTCTTTTGATTATAATTTACTCAGAGACTCGCAAATCATAATGCCATATTATTGGTTACAATTTGAACTATATTATAGTTTGTATATTGCTACATACTACTTACTACAAAAATGGGTTTGCAAGTGAGGCATTAGCCAAAGTATTAAATGTAATGCTCTAAGAGACAATACCAAATTTATACAAGTGATTTTTTTTAGACCAGTTTTATTTGATATTGCTTTAGCTTGAAGTACTAAATATTTCGATCTAGAATTATACTCTCGTAGTAAGTCACACATACATCGTAATAAAATATAAGCTGCAATATTTATATCATCAGCTTTACAACAGTAGTCACTTGTCATTCTGAATAAAATTAATACTGTTCTGTTTAAATAAAAATAAAAATGTATAAATTGATGATGAAAATATTAAATTAATTATACTCACCCTACCATTGCAAATTTTTCCCCATTTACAATTAATGCATTATTAGGTTTAATATTTTTATTGGGAGATAATGGTTGTAGCCCTGAAAATTTACCTAAAAATATATTACCATAAATAAATATTTAAAAAATTATAAATTATCTAAATCCCAAAACACTCAAAATGCAGGTAGCTAAACAATAACCTGTATTTTGTATATATTCAACTAATTTTTGAAATTCTAAAGGAACATCTATTTGTCGCCAATGTTCAGCATCCAAAATTAATTTTAATTTGTTAATTTTTTCAGTGTGATATTTTTTAACGAATCTACTAGCCTGAAAGTTTAAGACAAATGCTTAATAATTTAATCATATTAACATGCATTTTTATATTACAACCTCTGATTGCATTGCAGTTTGTAGAATTTTATATCCTACATCTTGATTAGAGCACACTTTTATGTAACTATTACTTAAAGTTCTTATACACTCATTTAAACGTAACAGTTGTTTTTGATCAGCCAAACAATTGTTAGAGTCTTCTTCATCAAAATGTACTGAATTTCCATTATCATTTTCCGCTTCAGCACTATATATCACAAATTATAACAAATCCATTGATTATTATAAAGTATAACTATATTTAAGTGATAGTCTTACTTAGCATTTGAATGCTTAGTAACTAATTGAGCATATTTTTCAATAGTATATTTGGTAACTGAGTTCAATAAATTAATTAATTTGCTTTTAACTTTTTTGTAGTCTTCTTCACTCAAAATCGATTCATATAAAGATTCTCCCATACTAAAAATTAAACAAATTATGAAATTGCATCAAAAAAATGTTGTTTAAACAAATTCTCACCAATTTAAAGAATCTTCAACATGGAAAATTTTGTTGGAACTTACATTAGCAGCATGTTGCATAATGTCATAACCAGCCTAAATAAATAAATATATTATCAACAAAAATTAGTATAATTATTTAACTGTTTTTTATTTATACCTATATTTTTAATATATAATTAAATTATTAATTTATTTCAAAGTAACTTTTAAATAGAATCATATTTACTTTTATTCTTAATAGTAGTATAGACAACGCATGCGAACAATTTTCTAACATTTCAAGCCATTCATTGGCACTTAAACAATGTAAATAATTTTCTAAACTAGAAGTCTGATTGACCTGGTGATCTATATCACTATTAGAAACTGTATCAATTACGCTTTTCTTTATTGAAGCACTAATTGCTGCAATACATTCTTTATTATAGGCTTCAAGAAAAGCCCAATTTTTACGTCGCATCATCCCCATGAGTATTGAAAAAAATTTATCCTAAAAAAAAAATAATATGAAAATATCATAAGAGTAAATTTAAAACTAAATAAATAGTTACTTTTTCTAAGACTTCTGTGTTATCATTTACTAATGGTCTATTCAAATCTGCAGATGAACATTTTTCAAATTCACCTGCCATTACAGCATCAATCATTTTAATAATTTCATTTAACTCTGAAGTTAGATGCCTATACAAATTTATTTTCATTATTAAACCTTTTTACCTTTTTATAACCTTTTTTATTTTAAATAAAATATGTACATTTTCACGACCATACAAAAAGTAGCCACATCGTTTTATTTTTAAGTCTATGAAAGGTTGAAAATTAAAAAAATAGTAATAATAAAATAAAATTTTAACTTATCAACTTTTTGAATGATGGTAGAGATATGTTAATTATAACATTTAATGTAATTAACTTGCACAATTAGAAATACTAGGTTTGCATAAGGTTTTATGTCCTAATCTACGAAGCTACATTATTTTGCTTCAATTCAAAACTGAGAAGATATTAATTTTACAATGATACGGTTATTTATTTATTTTTATTTTTTTGTGTCTGTTACTACTTTTTCTAAGCTGTCACCGAACCGATTTTTTTAAACAATACATCAAAAGATCACAAATCGTATCTAGTTAAAGACATTACCCTAGAAAATTGAAATTTTTGCCCTAGTTCCCAGTAAATAATGAATATCTCCCAAAAAATTACGATTTTTAAAATCGGTAAATTTCAATATTTTTTAAATTTTTTTTTCTAAAAATTGTAAAAATTAAAAAATTAAAAAATGAACAAATCCAAATAACTCTTTTTTAAATTCAAACCATAGATATTTGTCTTTCATTTGATATAAATTTTTTGAAAATCTGACCCTTTATCTGCTCACATGGAGGGATTCAAAATAGCAACTTCTGCACAAAAATTTAAGTTTTATACTTAAGTTTTGAAAATGTTTCGATAATACTCTGAATTTCAAATGTATGTTAAAATAAAGATAATGTTATGCACTGTTAGTTAAAAAAAAAAAAATTTATCCCACGACTTATCTTTTATGTGCAAATTGTTGCCGTAGATAAAAAACATGCAATTTTGGTGTTAAAATTTACGATTTCATATTTTATTTTTTCAACTTTAAATTACTAAAACTTTTCGAAAAATGTAAGGATCAATACAATTATTTTTTCATTAATACTTTATCTTTACTTCTTTTATTTGATGTACATTTTTTGAAAATATGACTTTTGACCTGACCACAGAGGGGATTCAAAATAACAATTTTTATACATAAGTTAAACTTTTTCAACTCAATTTTTGAACATTTTCCGGAAATATTGACACTTTTATTTAATCTTAAGTTAAAGCTTATATTATATACTTTACTATGAATAAAAAAAATGTCGATATATAGTGAACATGGTTATCATATTCAAAAATATGCTATTTTTGTGTTAAAATTCTTGGTATTTAATTTTAATATACCTTATAATGTGGTAACTGATTTTCATGAATATTATATAAAACTAATTGACATAAAATATAAAGTTAAAATTATTTCAATTTTTTTTCTTATAAGTTGAAAAAATTAATTGCCTGTGGCAATGATTTTTTTACGATTTTTCTATAATTCTTTTTGAGCTGGAATTTTTTAAAATTACATACTATCTACAAATTTGCATTGAAGCATTTCTTATGATAGTGATTTTAATTACCGTTACATATCATCTATACTAGTCCCAACTATGTCATGCTCACACTGTGCTACCGTTTTTTAGTATAAGAACAAGAAAACTTGATTGTCATTTTATAAATATGTTACACGTACAAATTATGAATATGTTATAACTTTCACGGATTAAAAATTTTTTATAAATATTAATAGAAATTTTTGAAATTTGTATCTTAAATTCATGTAGATTATATAAAAAAACATTACATTAATTAAAATATCAGCACAGAACTAAAAATATTTCAACATATTCTTAACAATAACATTATTTTTAATGAAGTATTACTTATTCAATAACTTTTATAATCACCTAAAACAATGGACACCTGAAAGTTCTTTAGACAGGAGATCTTTAGTTGTATAAATTAAGTCTAAGGCAGCGACATAGTCAGTAGCCGAAAGTAAAACTTGTATTGTTGTTTGAGTGTGATAAACAGTAGCCATTAATTTTAACTAATTAAAAAAAAAAAATTACAATTTTTTTTTAAAGATGTTAGATTAATTATAATTTAATTACTACCTTTTCTGTTATATTGTTGTGATTATTTATTGTAGTAATATTTTTTAAAACTGATAAAGATTTTGTTACTAATTCTTCATCTACTTGTCTTATTCTGTGCCTATTTTATTAACAAAAATGTTACATAGTTAGTACTTTAATACTAGTTAATGAATTACAATATTTTATACAATTGCATAGAGCATATATTTTTGAAATATTAGAATATAAAACGTAACCATAATTAGATGCTTACAAAATGTAGAGTAATTATGTAATTTCTTATAGTAATAGAAGTTTCTAGAAAATTTAAGAATAATTGAAGTAAATGCATCCTAAGTTAGGCTATGTCATTATTAAATATATTAAATAATTGATAATGGATTTTTAATATAATAGTGATATATATATATAAAATACAAATTTTCAAAATTCGATTTTCGCATACCAAAAACATTGTTCTACTACTTGTAAAAATAATCTGTGCAAAAATTGGTCCTGGAAGGTTGACGTTAACATGTACTGCAAGAGGGTTGAAAATTCGATCAAAAGTGTAGATTTTCAGTTATTGTGCTTCATCTCAAAATTATTTTTACGTAAAAGTTTATAAGAAAAAAAATATACATGTAATTATTTTACATAAAAAAGTTTATTAGAAAAAACTCATAAGTCAAATATTTACCCCCTAAATGTCAAAAGTTCCATAAATATTATGTTTACCAGTAAAATTCATATATTTAGACAATTTAAATATATATAATGAACCATTCAAGTTATAAAAAAAAATTTCATGTACAAGTTGTTTGAAATTTAATTTTTTATAAGTTTTATAGAAAAATAGAATTGTTTTACGTGTTTTCTGACGAGGTAATAAAGAAAACATAAATAATAATCATTTTTCTATGATAATTAAACAATTTGACAATTTATTTTTTATTTTTTTTCAAACTTAAATAAAATAAGTAAACAATTAATAAAATACTAAAAAATTTGTTTTAAAAATGATCTTAATGCTCATAAAAAATTATAAAATTAAAAAATATTAAAAATTATTCTTCTAGTAAACACAATATAAAAAAAATTTTGTTTTTGATTGGATTATTAATTGTTATCCATCGATGTATGTTTAGAACAATTTCCATATTGTGATCTATAATCGTTGACGACTTAAAGTAGAAAGTATTTTTATTCTTCATCATGAGTATATATTTCATTGTAATCTTGCATAAGTTTTACATCTATCTTTGCTATATCGTTTTTCACAAGAAGATTAGATAAAATTTTCAAACTATTTGAAAATCAGGATTTTTAACCCAGCTATGAGAGTTTCCAAAAAATCTATTGGTATATTGAACCCTTTAAACAAATTTAACGATTTTGGCGAAACAAAGTCATCATGTTCTTTTTTTAAAAAAACAGTTCGGTATCATTTGGGTTTATTGTAATATTTTTTATGGTGTTTATATTTTGATTTGTGATGTTTCTCTTGACGCCTCAACCATTTTTAGTTTAATATCTGCCGGTACTCTGTCATTAAAAAATGCTAAAGTTACATTTTCAAGTGATAAATACCATAAATGCCCTGAAAATTTCTGTGTTACAGCTTTAGATATAAAATATATCTAAAGCTGCAACACAGAAATTTTGTTATTAATTAATAATTTTAGAAAACATAATTTATTAAATGGTGATTGTATGGCAATAGATCCCATAATCCAAGTATCGTCATAAACTTTTACCAAAAACACAAATATTACAAAATTCATGTCCTTCTCGTGTTTTAAGCTTTAACTGTATTTCTGAACATGCAAAATTGCTTGAAACTTCCATCTAGAGCGATGAAGAGCACCAGGGTGGTGAAATTTTATACCATTAAGGGGCGTTGTACCAAAAAAAATAACACAACTCAATAAATCCTTTGGAGTCATTTCTACATTGTTGAATAATTAATTAATGTTTCCCAACAAAATTTTATTATATTATTTTTAGTGTGTTCAACTGCATTTTTTATAGTTATATCATTGATACCAATATCAAAATTCAACAAATCTATACTAGTTCAACTTTCTTTAAATTTTTTAAAGGTAAGTACATATTGACCAGTTGTACATAAATTAAGGATTAATATATATATTAGGGTGATCATAAGTTATAAGACATGAGTCTTTTATTACAAATTTATAGCCAGGACCGCCATTTTGTTAGGTTGACTTATAAATAAAAGTGTGTGTATAAAATTTGAGTTTGCTAATCCTACTCTTTTCCGTCCATCAAGGGGTTGAATTTAGGCAGTAAGGGCTGAAAAGCAGTTTTTTTACATAACTTAGTCAATTTGACATTTATAGCTCGTTAAATTTAGTATTTATACAATTTGTTTCTTATTATTTTTTGTAGGACATATCAATTACAATAAAAAAGTATCATGTAAATGTGAATAATTCACATTTTTAAGTAATTATTACTTAATATATTTGTCGAGGGACAGCCTTTGAGTAATAATTACTTATTATTTATTTAGATAATTATTATCTAAATAAATTCGGTTATGGCTCTTTAATTTATTAGTTTATACAAAATTTTAAATTTTATTAGTCACAGAATTAATATCAAATGGTATAATTGAGCATCTTTTCCCCGTTCACGAAACAAAAACATTAAAGTGGTTGCAAATTGTGTGGGTGACATCATTTTTTCTAGTTGAAAACATATACCCTCAAAAACCCAGCACAGGGGGGTCGGGGCACAGTGGTGATGTGGCATAATTGGATGAAGTACAATGATATCTGACAGTGATTAAAATCACTATCATAAGAAACGCTTCGATGCAAATCTGTAGATAGTGTTTCATTTAGAGAAATTGGTGGATTATTCCAAAAGCAACATCAACTCTTATTTCTTTAATTATATCCTGATTAGTAGTTCTTTGATTTTAAAATATAATATATGAATAAATACTAATTATAGTTTTTAAATTTAGTATGAAATTGTGAGGCCAGCTATGATGTAT